ACAGTTTGGGGGGGTTGTACTGTAGAGAATTTGTTTCGCTAATAACTTTTCTTAGAATTAACCGATTTACCAACTTTGGTTATTCTAGCTTTTATAGTTTCTGAGATCCTGATCCTGATGAGGCATCTGGGACTAAAATTTGGTGTCCCTAGGTCTTATAGTCTCCGAGATATAGGCGTTTATACAAATGGAAAATCGGAAAAACCCCCCAATTGCAACTAAGAGATACCGGTATTCTCCTTCTGAACAATTTTAGTGGTAAGATTTCAAGTAATAATGAATCCCAAGCAATTAAAGGATCTTTCATAATGAAATTTAATAATTGTACATTAGATATAGGAAATCAGTTTTTTTCATCATTCGAAATCTCTAGCTACAAGCCACTACCAGCTATGATTCAAGATGTGCGGACAGAGCACACAATCGTGGGGAAACCAAACAACCTTCCAAGCAAAGTGCAGTGCTCAAAGAGGACCAACACGACAGAAACTCTTTCGGAATGCAGTACGAAAAAACACCGAAGCACCCATGATCTCCCCGGATTTTAATTTATCGACCGGGACGTTCGAGATCAGGGAGGAGTTAAACACCTTATTTACCCAAACAGCCAAAATTGGGTAGCAAATTTTCGCATTGACCGACGCACGTGGAAAACCAACGTGCTGGGAAATGCTGTCATAAAGTGTTGCGTATTCAGTTCGGTACATACGGGGTCAACACGCTAGCAAGCCAGCTACCGTGGAATCTCAACCTCAGCAGTCTACATTCATATAATCGAGTAGTCAGCGGAACCGATATCGACTATTGGTTCCCAAGAAAGGCAAGATGCGTACTCAGAGATTCTCGGTGCAAGGTCGACGCCAACATCGACGCATCATCGTTGGAACAGAGATTTCGTTAGGGTTTAGCTTAGATATTAAGACCAGTTTGTAATAAACTCGACTATAAGCACATGGTGCTGTTATAAATATTTTTTATATAAAATCAACAAATAATTGATTAATTTATATTCTTGATCAGCATGACATGACGAGTCAATCTATGTCTGTCTGTCCGTCCGTCCGTATGAATACCTGGATCTCAGAGACTATAAGAGATAGAGACACCAAATTTTGCATTTTTTTTTTTATTTCCCCCCCCCCCCCCCCACTTCCCCCATGGGGCTTTTCCCGATTTTCCATTCGTATAATCGCCTATATCTCCCAGATGCGTTATGTGAATACACAGAAAATGTGTATTTTGGAATTTACCTCCCTCTGTCTGTCTGTATGAACGCAAGAATCTCCGAAAGTATAAGAGCTAGAATAACCAAACTTGGTATACAGATTCTCCTGAGCCCGAGAAAGGACGAGTTTGTTCATTTTTTCTGATCCAATTTTGTAGTCACATTAGGTTAGTGATTATATATCCGTATACCAAGTTTCATTATGATAGAATGATTGGAAAAAAAAGTTATAGCCATATAACCAGGCGCAATGCACACATACATACATATGTACAAGTACACAAACACGCTAAGGCACGATTCTGATGTAAATGTAAATGTATGTATGCATGCATGGAATATTTTATATTTAATTTAGTTAATTAATTTAATTTAATTAATTAATTTAATTTCTTTTTTGTGGGGTGGTGCAGGGTATTTAAGAGTTGAGCCTGCTCGACTTTAGCATTCCTTTCTTGTTTTTTTCAATTTGCTTTATTTTTTTAATTTCTATAATTATTCTAAACAAATGTAAAGAGTATTTCAAAGTCGAAACACCCGACTTTAGCTTTTTTACTTCTTTTTTTAAAACTTCACAATATTTTGATTAAAATGAACATCAATGTTCGTATAATAGTAAGCTTTTTATTTTCATATCAGACGAAATATACCCAAACCCATTAAGTTTGCCGTAATATTCGAATAAAACGCACGCACGCTAAACGCACTTAGCGCACTATATGCCGTTAAAGCTGTATAAAAACATATGTCTCCGCTTATATATGTATGTATTAAATAATTTTAATTTATTTAAATTAATTTTTATACCCTGTACCCAAAGGGTAACAGACAAAGGGTAACAGACACAGACACAAATAGACGCGCATAAACATACATACACTCACATAAACGCAATTGCTTTGTATATGTGCAATTAAGGTAAGAAACGTAAAATCGATCCAATTTTTTTAAATTTTTTTTTTTTCTATAATTATTGTAAACATATGTACAGAGTATTTCAAAGTCGGGACACCCGACTATAGCTTTTTTACTTGTTTCTGATGCATCTGATGAACTAAAATATGGTAGTCACACCCAGTTAGTTATTATATATCCGTATACCAAGTTTCATCATGATAGGTCAATTATGAAGAATGTTATGGTTCAACTTTGTGCTGCATACATACACGTATATAAACACGCAGAGACACGATTCTGAAGTAAATTTGTTATTTGAATGTGTTGAATATTTTATTTTTAATTTAATTAATTAAAAAACAAGAGAGAACGCTACAGTCGAGCAAGCCCGACAGTGTAATACCCTGTACCCAGGTAAACTTCCGTCACTGAGTTATATGCGCCCATAGCAGCAGCAAAAAGAGGAAAAAGAAGAGCGAACTTGTTGCTGCAGTTTGGGGAGGTTGTACTGGCGAGAATTTGTTTCGCTAATAACTTTTCTTAGAATTGACCGAATTGAATAAAATTTTGAACAACAGTAGACAATTATATATAATTGTGTGTGTTTGGTTTAGGTAGCATTTGAAATGTGGACGCTATTGACGAAATTCTGTAGCGGGGGAAGGGGGGGGTAATTCCAAAAAATAAAATAAACTCGTCCTTTCTCGGACCTAGGAGAATCTGGATGCCAACTTTGGTTATTCTAGCTTTTATAGTTTCTGAGATCCTCGCGTTCATCCAGACGGACGGACAGACGGACGGACGGACGGACATGTCTAGATCGATTTCTCTCGTCATGCTGATTCAGAATATATATACTTTATGGGGTCGGAGATGCTTCCTTCTGTATGTTACATACTTTGCACAAACCTAATATACCCTTTTTACCCTACGGGTACAGGGTATAATAATATATATATTTTTAATTTTCCTTTTTTTGTGGAGAGTACAGGGTATTTTACTGTCGGGCTTGCTCGACTGTAGCGATCTATCTTGTTTATTTTTTAATTAATTGTTAAAATATTTTTTAAAATTGTTTTTTTTTTTTGTGGGAGTGGGTACAGGGTATTTTACTGTCGAACTGGCTCGACTGTAGCGTTCTCTCTTGTTCCAATAATATTTAATTATTAGTGAAGCAGCTTATACATGTATTTAAGAAAATCCGATGTATGACTGAATGCGACACGCTATAAGCTCTTTGCACGGGCTCACTATTGACAAACACTCGAGCGGAATGCAGAACTCACCTGTATTTGTCAGATTTAGTTGGACATAATCTCCTAACTACCCTTTCACACATAAGCACAAACGCGCACACGTGTCAACAAACACGCAAAGAGTTGCACCCCCCGCCGGCATGTTTGCAAAATTCATGGTCAATCAATATTGATTTCACGTTTTGTTTTTCGTTTTTCTTGCAGTTCCGATAATTGTCGTGGTTAGTGCTGGTGGCACACCGCTGACTACACATTAGAGATGGGCATGGGCCGGCTATATTCGGCCCGACACGACACGGTCAAGAAATTAACTTTTGGAAACACTCACGCGCACTCACGACGAAAATATTATTAAACACGGCCCAACACAAAGCTTTTATAACCATTAAATGTAAAAACGAAAAATATATCCATAGTTTGCACTTCGAATTTGTATTAAAGAATATGTACTCATCTATATTTGAGCTAAGAAGCCGAATTCGTAGCTTATTGAAAATTGCTCCAGAAGTGAAAAAAACTCGTTCACTTGTTTGAAAAACTGTCAGGGATATTGACAATATGTCTTGATATTTGCCTTAGCAATTCCATTTTTACACTCTGTACATGAAATGTATAAGAGTATAGTATATTAGGTTTGCGCGAGCTGAAAAATGTAACAGGCAGAAGGAGGCGTGGCAGACCCCACAAAGTATAGCTTGATGAGCATGACAAGACGAGTCGATTTAGCCCTGTCTGTCCGTCTGTCCGTCCGTATGATCACCTAGATCTCAGAAACTATAAGAGATAGAGACACCAAATTTTGCACAAAGATGCCTTATGTGTGTATTCTATACGAGTTTGTTTTATTTTTTTGATTCCCCCCCCCCCCCACTTCCCCCCTATAGGGGTTTTCCCGATTTTGAATTTGTATAATCGCCTACATCTCGGAGACTATAAGACCTAGGAACACCAAATTTTAGTCCAAGATGCCTTGTGTGAATACGCAGAAAATGTATATTTTGGAATTTCCCTCCCTCCCCCCTCTCCCATGCAAATCGTAACTCTCGTAATTCTTGGAATTTCGAACTTAAATTTGGAAATACCCCCAGTTGGTTATTATGTGTCCGTATGCCATGTTTCACTATGATAGACCGATTTAACAAGAAGTTATAGCCATAAATATATTTGCTGCTGCAGCGATGCTCAAGCGCTGCCCGCGGCTGTTGTTGATGTTGCTGTTTAGTTGACTGCTAACATGTTTACACAGACACGAATAGATGCGCATAGGCATACATACACTCACACAGACGCAATTGCTATGTAATACCGAGAAAGGTAAAATCGATCAAATTTTTTTTTTTTTAATTTTCTTAATTTTTTTTATTTTCTATAATTATTGTAAACATATGTACACAGTATTTCAAAGTCGGGACACCAGACTTTAGCTTTTTTACTTCTTTTTTATTACTAGAGTTGTTCATTTTTTTTCGTGTTATATTCGTGTTTGCTCGTGCGGTATTGTCTTGTTTTGTGGCACGAAGTGCCACGACCGAAAACACGGCCCGTGCCCAACTCTACTACACATATAAATAGCGCCAGGCTAATAAAATGGCTAACAGTTTCATATGACACTTAGCTGTAAAATGGCTGTACACAGAATTTTGTTTTCGCCATTCAGTGCGGATATTCCACACGCATTCCTCTGCAACGACTCGAAGTCTATGCGTTACTGCGGACCCTACATTGAGACCGCGCTGAATTTTGCACGCGTTTACCGTTACCAACTGCAGCTGGAGCAACTAGAGGACTTGCCCAACAAGTTAATGTTGCAGCAACAGATTGTCGATGGACATTATAACCTTTCGCTACATGGCGTCATTATACGGCCAAGTGAGAACGTATCGCAGCTTCAGTCAAAAGATGTGCAGTACAGTTACCCGATCGAATTATTGCACAACTGTGTGATGGTCCCTCTTGCTCCGGAGTTGCCCAAGTGGAAGTATGTAGTGTGGCCTTTGGGCCGCTATATCTGGACAACTCTATTCGTGAGCATATTCTATGTAGGTCTGCTCATGCGCTACGTCCACTGGCATGAGCCACGCAGTGTGACACGGTCGTTCTCTAGAAATCTATTGTACAGCATGGCCATCTTAATGTACAGCTCCAACATGAATCTGCGGCTGATGCACGGCTCTATACGCATGCTTGTCTTCTATATGCAGCTCTTTTTGCTGGGCTTCATTCTGTCTAACTACCATATCAGCCACTTGACTGCGTACGATATGAAGCCGGTTTTTCTACCGCCGATTAACTCGTGGGCGGATTTAATTGCCTCTGGCCTGCGCATTATCATCCCCTCCACGTTGCTCGAAGAGCTTCGCTTGTTGCCCGTGGTTAACATCACGCCACTAGAGCCACAGTTCGAGCCACGTGTTTGACAGGAATATCAGGAGCTGATGCATCAGCCTTCGCGTTCCTATTCTTATGTCGTTACCCAGGACACTTGGGAGTTTTTAAACCGACAACAGCAAGTGCTCATCCAGCCGCGTTTTCACATGTCCAAGGTATGCTTTGGTGGTCTCCTAAATGCATTGCCCATGCGTCAAAACGTAAGCTTTTCTTTCGCTCTCGACCGCTTCCTTCTAAACGTGAAGCAGGCGGGTCTGTGGAACTATTGGAAGGAGATAGCCTTTCGCAATGCATGTCGCGTGGGTCTTGCTAAGATTTTTCTCGACACCTATCCAGTAGAGCCTTTGAACTTGAAGTTCTTTTACACGGCTTGGATTGTTTTAGTTGTTGGCTTAAGTGTTAGCTCATTGGCATTGTGCATAGAGCACTGCATATGCAGGTGCCGAGAAAGAAGGTTGCAAATGACATTATGAGTATACTAATATATTTATGCCCTGTACCCGTAGGGTAAAAAGGGTATATTAGGTTTGTGCAAAGTATGTAACATGCAGAAGGAAGCATCTCCGACCCCATAAAGTATATATATTCTGAATCAGCATGACGAGAGAAATCGATCTAGACCTGTCCGTCCGTCTGTCCGTCTGGATGAACGCGAGGATCTCAGAAACTATAAAAGCTAGAATAACCAAAGTTGTCATCCAGATTCTCCTAGGTCCGAGTAAGGACGAGTAGTGGTATTTTCCCCCCCTTCCCCCGCTACAGAATTTCGTCAATAGCGTCCACATTTCAAATGCTACCTAAACCAAACTTTGCACACATAATTTATATATAATTGTCTACTGTTGCTCATTCATTGTTGTTCATTGTTTTATTCAATTCGGTCAATTCTAAGAAAAGTTATTAGCAAAACAAATTCTCGCCAGTACAACCCCCCCAAACTGCAGCAACAAGTTCGCTCTTCTTCTTCCTCTTTTTGCTGCTGCTATGGGCGCATATAACTCAGTGACGAAAGTTTACCTGGGTACAGGGTATTACACTGTCGGGCTTGCTCGACTGTAGCGTTCTCTCTTGTTTTATACTCTGTACATGAAATGTACAAGAGTATATTAGGTTTGCGGGAGCTGAAAATGTAACAGGCAGAAGGAGGCGTGGCAGACCCCACAAAGTATTTATATTCTTGATCAGCATGCCAAGACGAGTCGATCTAGCCCTGTCTGTCCACACAATAACTGCAGAAATCTATAAAATTAAAAATTAATCGCAGTGTTCTGTACAAAAAATAAAATTTAGCTCTTATAAATATAAATGTATCATATACGTACGTGTACTAGAGTAAATTCCAGAATCTTTGCGTTGCGCACGAGAATTGTTTCGCACTGTTTTGAATACCATTAATACCAAATAGAATAATTTATATTACTGTAGTGTGCTTAGTGCTGGTGCTTTTGCTATTGCAAATCTTTAGAAAAAATTTTACACATTCGCTATTATGGCGCACTATTTCACCTTAAAATGGAACTGATTTGGATTTGTTGAAGTTTTTCTGTTGATCAATTGCATAAAAATATAATTAATCATATGCAAAATATATATATGATTTTCAAAATATTTTAGTGAAATCGTTGTTGAAAGGAAGTATACAAATAATAAATAAATAATAAAGGAAATGCTTACAAGAAATCAAGCATAATATCGAAATAATGCGGCTTTCTTACTGAATATAATAAAAATGCGCAGAACATATCCGCCATGTAGACTGTACAAAATGTATTACATACCGTTCAATCGAGACTCTCCCATAGTTGAGCGTAGCCATGTCTTTAACTCTTCTTAAAGTACTGAAAGATCTTTCAATTGTTGCTGTCGTACAAGGCAGGGACATAGCAATACTCAGAGCGGTTTTAATACTAGGGAAAAACAGTTCAGTTTCTTTCCACACTTCGCAAAGCTCTAGTTCTGACATATTAATTCCTTTTTTTCTTTCCACAACTTGTACCATAGCTCGGCCTCTTGGTCAAACTCAACCAAATTATAAAACTGTTTAAAACAGTCTGCTTTTAATTTAAACTTTTCAACATTAAGCTTAAGCATATTGGAGCAAAAGTACAGAGAACGCAGGATTTTTTTCTTCACACAATCTATTTTTTAAAGCTGTGCAAAGCGAGTCAACATACGGGATATAAATTGACCTTTTCCAATATTCTGAGGGTTTTGACGAAGAATGATTTTGTCTCTGGTTCTGTCGTGCAACTAATCTTGGTATAGTTATATTTGCACCAATTTGGCTTGCAATTTTATCTGCAATATGTAAAATATTTTCTATTCTTTTATCATCATTTTCGCGATGTTCTAAAACAAGATCTGTTATAGTTTTTATGTGTTCCGCACACTGCAATAAGTCCAAACTTTTGGATTGTAAATCATTTGGAACCGGCGCTATCAGAGATGAAGATTCAGCTATAATCATGGAGCATATTAAAAGCGTTTTTACACCTCCAATTTTACCAGCCATAGTGGAACATCCATCATAGCCCTGACCAACAAATTTTGACTGATCCAGTCCTTTCTTTTTTATAAATTCATCAATTACTGAAGCTATTGCTTTCGCATCCATCGCATGCAGCTCATAAAACCCGCCAAATTCTTCGCGTATAGCTACTTGATTTATATCAAAGAACCGAATCCCAATGGATAGTTGCTCTTTCCCAGAAATGTCTGCACTCTCATCGGCTAGAATGCTGTATGAGTATGCTTTTTATACCCTGTACCCAAAGGGTACAAGGGTATATTAGTTTTGTGCGAGTGTACATGGAACACACAGAAGGAGGCGTGGTAGACCCCACAAAGTATATATATTCTTGATCAGCATGACCAGCCGAGTCGATATAGCCATGTCCGTCTGTCTGTCCGTCTGTCTGTCCGTCTGTCTGTCTGTATGAACGCAAGGATCTCAGAAGGTATAAGAGCTAGAATAACCAAACTTGGTATACAGGTTCTCTTGAGCCCGAGAAAGGACGAGTTTGTTCATTTTTTCCCGATGCGCCCCCCCCCCCACTCCCCCCCTATTCAAGATTTGCTTTAACTCCCGTAATTCTTGGAATTTTAAACTAAAATTGGGTAGACACATCCAGTTAGTAATTATATATCCGTATACCAAGTTTCATTATGATAGGTTGATCAGAAAGAAAGTTATAGCCATATACCCATGCCCAAAGCACACATACATACATATGTACAAGTACAAAAACACGCATATACACGATTCTGATGTAAATGTATGTATGCATGTATGGAATATTTTATATTTAATTTAATTAATTAAATTTAATTCTCTAATATAATGCAATCCGAAAATGTATAAGTACTCACCAGCATTATCAGTAGGTTGGCCTGTACCACGAAGTGGTAGGTCGTGAGTACCGCAAAAAATAACTACTTTTATAATGGAGGTTAGAATCTTTCGATTTTGTTCCATTATTTTTTTGTGACCTGAATTTAACATTATGTCCACTGATGTATCATTTAGAAATGCATTTGCATCCATTGCCGCTCCAATATGGCATTGGGTCAATGGATGACTTTTTCACATTTCATATGCATATTGCATATGATTATACCGGGTGAATGGTTTTCTTACGAGAGATCCCAGAACCCCTTTATAATTTTTTGGGGGAAAAAGTACGCAGTACAAGCATAGAGCACCTTTAACTTTTTTGGAATATACCAACCACGGTGGCAACAATTTTCTATTTGGAGATACTGCATCTGCCTCAAAATCATAACTGTGGGGTGGCACCCAACAATTTCGTAACATATCTATTTTCTGCGTTTTCGAAATCATCGCAGAATGACCGATCCAATTGCCGAGATCATTTGAATGATAAATTACATCTCTGGTAGGCTCACCTAAGTTTTATTGTCTTGGTTTGGCGCCATCTGTTACTGTATCGGTTGTTATCTTACGTTTTTTATTTTTCCCACTTCCCGTGTCTATTAAACAAAGTTATGCCTATTAATACCTTTATATATCTATATATATAAAACAGTTTGTCCTGACTGACTGACTGACTGATTGGTGATCAACGCACAGCCCAAACGGTAAAGGCTAGGAAGCTGAAATTTGGACTCAAGTATCCTTTCATAGTCTAGGTGCCCACTAAGATTTTGGAAAACTCGAGCTCCAAAGGGGGGAAAACAGGCTCCAACGTTTGTATGAAAAATCTACAGTTTTCATCTGATTAAACTTAGTTTGTATACTCTCAGAACAATTCCAAGAAAAGCTGTACACTTGATTTTTTGATATTTTTTTTGGGGCCTAAAATATGGGAGTTTTCCTGTAAAAAAATGTTGGGGCACAAAAACAAACCGCGTCAACAGCCCACAGCCCACGCGGTAAAAGCTAGGAAGCTGAAATTTGGGCTCAAGTATCCTATCATGGTGTAGATGCACACTAAGAAGGGATTTTGGAAAATTCGAGCTCCAAAGTTTGTTTGAATAATCCGCATTTTTTAGCCGATCGACATAAAACATGGTTTCTGAAATCAATAAAAGAATACAAAGACAACTGCATACTCGGTTTTTTAAATTTTTTGTTGGAGCTTGAATTATTGGGGTTTTCTTGGGGCACAAAAGGAAACCGCGTCAACAGCCCACAACCCAAACGGTAAAAGCTAGGATGCTGAAATGTTGGGTCAAGTATCCTATCATAGTGTAGATGCGCACTAAGAAGGGATTTTTGAAAATTCGAGCTCCAAAGGGGGGAAAAGTAGCTCCAAAGTTTGTTTGAAAAATCCGCATTTTTCAACCGATCGACTTAAAACTTAGTTTCTTGGGGTTTTAATATTTATTCACTATTTCAAATGAAAAGTTTGTGTTATAAATTAAGTCCGATCGATTTAAAATTTGGGTAATGTAATCTACGTAACTAAATCTACAACTTTGCATTCAAGAATTTTCAAAATATGCATTTTACAAAAGCAGGTAGAACAAACAATACAAAATATCAAACAGTTGGGGACAACTAAGGATACACACACACACACACACACACACACACACACACATACACACACACACATGCAAGCAGCTGTTCGTGTAGTTGCGTGCAAACGATTGAAATAGCCAAAGCAAAATGTGAGACACTAATGTGTGAATGTCCATACATATGTGCACATCTATGTATGTACATACATATGTATCTACATATGTATCTACATATGTATGTATGTACATTCGTCTTGCACTGACAGAGCAAGAAATGTTAATTAATTGAAAATTATATAACATTTTTAAAAGTAATTATACCCTGTACCCAAAGGGTACAAGGGTATATTAGTTTTGTGCGAGTGCACATGGAACACACAGAAGGAGGCTTGGTAGACCCCACAAAGTATATATGTATATTCTTGATCAGCATGACAAGCCGAGTCGATATAGCCATGTCCGTCTGTCTGTCCGTCTGTCTGTCTGTATG